CGCAAGCCGCGCTCGGACAACTACACCACTCTCCACAACACAAAAACCAAAAAACAAAAACTCAACACTCCATCCCACTGCAGGGCCTTGGCTGCCCTCCCTGGGGGCTCCGAGGCCCAGCCGGCCTGCACAAAGGAATCAAATCAAACCCACGCAAACGGTTTTGCGCACACCGTGCACTAAGGACAGGGCCTGACCAGGCGATGCTCCACAGGAAGTTCGTGCTGCCCGTGGCCTGTCCCCAAGAGGGCGTGCACTCAGCCTCAGCACCCCCACCTGTGCTCGCCAGGGCCCGCGGGGTGGGTGGGCTCTCACTGGGGCTCCCCTTCCCCTGCAAGGCCCGTGACTGCCGGGCCGCCTGCCCCGTCCACCGCCTGCACCCAGGCCTCCTCTCCTGAACCCGCAGGGGCTGGTGCAGGGGGCTGTGGCAGCCCTGGCCTGGGCCCGGGGTCCCACCCTGGCGAATGGCAACCGGCGAGGGCGAGGACGGGTCAGGAGGGTGGTGGCCTTGCACTGGACTGTACCCCTTCCCGCTAAGGCACGAAGGTCTTCTCCTTCCTGATACCGAAAAAGTATCAGGACAAAGAGAGCAAACTCCGGTGGCTGCGGAAGCCCTGGGAACCTGGCCTGGACTCTACCCCACGCTGGGCAGACGGGACCCACAGCCTCCACCTGGGCCGGACGGGACCGCAGAAAGGGAGGCCGGCAGCTGGGAGGGACAGGCGCAGACGGTTTGCTACACCCCCTCTGGGACCTGCGGCGACAAAGGCAGCGTGCCCAGGGAGCGTCCCCCTGTGCTTGCTCCACTCACCAAAGCTGTTTAGGATGTTGTCAAAATTATTCAGATAGTAGTAGCCTTCCTCCACGACGGTCCTGTTGCCCACGGTGTGATTGAGCCAGCGGTAGGCGTCTGCCACCGTGCTCGTGCTGGCGGGAAGACAAGGGAGGCAGAAGGGAGGGTCATGAGGCAGTCGGCCACCTCCGCGGAGGACAAAAAGCTGAAGCAAACGAGGTCCAGCCTGGGATCTTTCTGCCCTGCCGCCGCCCTGGCTCCTGCTGGGCCCTCTCCTGTGCCTCCACCCTCACTGCTGGGCTCCGGGGACCTCAGGCTCCCCCCACCTGCCTTCCCCTAGCATTTCTCTCTCGCCGCTCCCTGCTGGGGTGGGGGGAGATAGAGGCGAGAGCCTCCCGCCTGGGCCCAGTCCCGGATTTGCTCTCGAGGCTGGGTGCTGGGCAGCAACCCCGGGGAACACAGAATTCCTCATCGGGCCCCCCCCTACTTTGCCTGAGCACGCCCCACGTTTGAACAGGCTGCGCGTCTGTCTCGAGATCGCATCTGCCACTCCTCTCCCGGTCCTCCACGGCTGTTCCGGGCAAGCCCACGCCAGTGTCGGAGTCTGGCGCCAGGGCCACAGGGAGCCTGCCAGGAGGCAGAGCCCCGGGCCCTGGCCGACCACCGGCTCAGAGGCACGCTGGGGCCAGGGCTTGCGCTCTAAGCAGCTCCCCGGGGTTCTGGTACATTCTAGAGCCTGGGCCCTGCCGTGGGCTGCTGGTTCCAGGCTCAGCCCGACACTCAGACTGGCCACCAACGTCTCGGTAAAGCTGTTGGTTGGTGCTTGAGGCCACAAAAACAGTAAAGAGAAGACCGTGATCCAGAACGCACGGCAGAGTGTGTCGATCTACCGTGGGGGCTTAGGAGAAAGGGGGAGAGGGGAGGGGACAGGCCCTGGGAGGTTTTGCTCCCAGATCTCTACCTCTGAGCCCGCCGGCCTTCCCGCCGTGTATCTGTCTGTCTCACCCTAACGGCTGTCCCTAGGAGACTGGTCTTGGCCCAGGTCCCCAGCCACGCCCAGAGGGAAGGAGAGGAAGCACGGACCCAGCCAGGCTGCTGGCTCTGGGGCGGCTTCTGTCCCTCAGCACAAAGGGGGAGCTGAGGGAGCCCCTGGGGCATCGCTCCTAGACTCGGGGACTGGCTCGGGCACCCTCACTCCAGAGACACCCCTGAGCCCGGCCCCTCGTGCAGCTCCCCGCGCTCAGCTGAGCCCCGGAAAGCGAAGCAAGGCAGGTGCCTGGAGAGGCGTGTCCCCAGGACCCTGAGGCTGAAGGGGGCCCGCCCGCACCTATCCCCTGAGGAACGCAGGGCACCCCGCTGCCCACTCACTTGCAGCAGTTGGGGTAGAGGATCCCGCAGAAGAATTCCATGCCCGCGATGGCGAAGGAGTAGTAGAAGATGAGCAGGGTGAGGCCCAGGCTGGGAGGGTCAGAAAGGACAGGGTGACGTGGGGCCGGCGGGGAGCCGGCTCCTGTGCAGCCCCGGCTCCCGGGATCCACTGCAGGGACTGGGACGCAGGCCCCCCGCCGGGGCTGCCAACCGGGCAGTGCCTGCGGGGGAGGGGCCTCGTGGCTTGCTCAGGCAGGACGCTACTGACAGATGCCCCTTTACCAGAGATGCGCCCCTTACCTGTGCAGCCAGACCACAGGCGCCCTTACCTGTGAAGGCAGACACAGGCGGTAAGCGCGTGGACGGCTCCTGCCCTCCCTACTAAAGCGTTTCAGACGGGTCAGCGGAGGAACATGGCTCGGGGAGACCCATGGCATCAGAATCTCAGGCTCCCTGGAGGCGCACCAGGCCTCGACGCCAGTCCTTGCTGGGACTCCTTCCCCCGACTACCACTCGGCTCCCCCCCTGCGGGCACAGCCTCACGCCGCCGGCACCTGCGGGCTGGGAGGCGGGCGGTACCTGGCCATGCGCGGCAGCAGCTCGAACATGGTGTCCAGCACATTGCGGTAGCGCTTTTTCAACTTAAACAGCCTGAGCGACACAAGAACAACAGGTCACTTACAGAAGCTGGGGTGTGTGGCCTCAGCCCCCTGCTGGCGGAATGTGCTAGAGCCTGGCCTCCCACGGGGCCTCTCCTCCACCTGAGTCTACTTGGCTCAGGTGACTCGTGCACCTGGCAAGGGACGGGGTGGCCCCAGGCCGCCAGGTTGGACAGGACCCTTGCAGGAGGAGGCGCCCCTGGGACCCTTCCTTGGGAAGAGACACGGCAACGGGCAGGGCTCTACCGGGATTTCCCGCAGTGTCCCTGGGAAATCAGTGGGCCGAATGAGGGCTTTTCGTGATGAGAGGCTGAGCCAACAAAGCACGCAGGGCCCCCAGAGGCCCGTGACCCACAGAGCCCGTGGCTCTGGTCCACGACCGGGCCCCTGGGCTGGTGTGGCCACAGCGATGCCAGGGGGGCAGAGCTCGGGGAGGCCCGGCCGTCCGCACGGCCCGCGCCCTGAAGACAGGGCGCCTCTGCAGGGGCGTGGCGTTGTGCCGCCAGCTGTGCGTCTTCTGGCTGCTTCCCAGTCACTTCCCGGCCCGGACCCAGGGCCTTTGGCCTCCCTCTGCCCCTCCCGCCCCAGCCTGCCCCGTCACCTCAGCAGCTGGAGGGGACGCAGGACCACTATGAAGTAGAAGGGCTCCATGTTAAGGGCCAGAGCCAGCAGTCCCAGGAAGGCGAACACCGTGACGGAGAAGTCGAACCTGGGGGCAGGAGCGGTGAGGTCCGTTCAGCGGCCCCCGAGCCCCCACGACTGTGCCCTCTCCCGGCCCTCGGTCCCCCTTCCGAGAGCCCAGACGGCAGCCACAGCAAAACCAGCGACGGCCAGCCAGCAACTTCCTGTCACCCTGGGGCCCTGAGCTCGCGTCGGCCAGGCCCAGGCAAGGGGCCTCGGGGGTCAGATCTCAGCGCTCTCGGTGGCCGGGACCCCCTCCCGAGGGCCCCGTGCTGGTCTGATGACAGAGGACAGAAGCCCCCCACACCCCGGCCCCTGCAGCCACGAAGACAGGCCCCGTCTCAGCTTAGCAAACACCTGGACACACAGCGGGGACCAGCCCGACCCCGGAACCTTCCGCGGGAAGAGGGCAGGGCCTTCCGATGAGACCCCACCAGGGGAACAGCCCCACCCCAGTCGCGGGGTACGCAGGTCTGTCCCTCCCAGCTCTCCTGCTATTAACTGATTCACTCTCACGCCCCAGGCGGCCTGAGCTCCCGGGTCAGGCAACGCCAACCGGCGGGCGAGTGGCCTCCCCGCTCTGCGCAGAGGGGAAAAGGGCCTCGTGGTCTCGCCACAGCCCACCGGGGAGGTGGCGAACGCTCTTCTCAGTGGGCGTCGTGGTTTTTACGGGGGAGAAGACAGCCTAAGGACTCAGGAAGGGCCGGCCGGCCTAAGGAACCCCAGAGGCCACGGCCAGGGGCCTGCGTGAGCAGCCCGAGGGACTTCGGCAAGAGTCTGACCCTGGGCGAAACTGCTCCATGGGGACACAGGACTCGGCCTGTCCTCTGACCTCCCCTCCGCAGCTGCAGGAGCGGCGTGGGTGCTGGGCGGGCGGGGAGGGACGCGCGGCGGGCGCCAGGTTCTCAGGCAGGGTCAGGGTCACGCCCCACTCACAGGTTCCATCCGGAGGACAGGTACTCCACGGGGCCCAGGCCCGCCACCTTCAGGAACAGCTCCACGCCGTAGACTGCGGAGAGAAGGACGCCGATGCCACATCCCGCCCACCCGCCTAGCTCCTCCGGGGCTGCCCTGCGGTCTGCAGCCCCCCGCGGGCCACCTGTCCCCACCCCAGCCGCACCCGTGACACGACACGCTCTCGCTCCAGGACAGGGCCTGGTCCAGATGGCGGCCACCTGGGCAACTTGCTTAAGAAGAAAGAGGCTCCCTCCCCCTGCCCGGGCAGGGCACAGCCATCCGTCCACCCAAGCGACAGCCATGTCCTGGCGCTGTCCAAGCCAGGCGCCGCGCTGGGTGCCGGCGTGCCGCGCGAACGGGGCGGCCCTGCACGCACAGCGCGTATCACGTCTACGGGAGGAAGGACAGGTGAACAGGGAGCGCTCGGACTCGGCGGGAGGACGAGGACAGTCGGGCAGAGACGGGCAGGGGGACGAAAGCCCCAGGCGGAGGACGTGAGCCACGCACAGGCCCGGGGCCGGGGCAGCGCAGCGGGGCGGAGAGTCGCTGTTCAGGGCCTGGAGGGTGGCACGAGGCTGAACAGGCGGGCTGCAGGCCTCGCCCAGGTGCGGGTCACACCGGGGGCCTGGACTTGATCCCGAGAGCAGCGGAGAACCACGAAAGAGTTTTTAAACGAGGGCGAGTTGGAATCAGACTAAATTTCTGCCCCATCTCTTTATGGCTCCCTGTTTTAGAGAAGTGCCACGAGACTCTAAACCGAAGGAAAGTTCTCCTAGACAGCGTTTAAGACACGCGGTTCGGCCAAGCCGCGCCAGACACTTACTAGTAAGAAAGACGAGGTAACTCCAGGGCACGTGTTTGGAGAAGAAGTTCCCACCTGTAAGACACAGCAGTAGCAGGTCAAGGGCAAGCCAGGTGTGCTGCCCAGGTGGCCAGTCCCCAAGCTGGGGCTCACCTTTCAGCATAAACGTCTCCACGAGGATCCAGATACCGTTGACTGCCACCACCAAGTCTGAAATAGACAGGCCCATGAAAGACAGAAAGGACAGGCGGGCTTGGAAATCTACAGGTCGCGGCTGCAGTCCCTGGTTAAGTTCCGGGAACTCTGGGGAGGGGAGAACAGGGCTGCTCCACACACCCATTTGGCAGGGAACTTCCTCCTGCGTGGTGCTCTTACCAGAGGAGCTAAATCGCCAATGGTTTCACGATGCAGCCACGCATTTCTAGAAACACCCTCTATGTCACTGTAGGGATACCAGTTAAGATGTAGAGATTATTCCAAGTCGGTGTAAAAGATGAATACACAGGGGTGTGAGTATTAAAAACATTTGTTTTCGCTTAGAAAAGTCTGATTTTAAAATAACTGCATAGCTGGGCAGAGTGGCTCACGCCTGTAATCCCAGCACTTTGGGAGGCTGAGGCAGAAGGATTGCCTGAGCATGAAGTATGCTATTGTTTATTTAAGACAAGAGATATTAATATATACACATCTAATTATAGTTTTTAAAAAATGGAAGGATAAACCATAATAAAAGTTGCCATGTAGAGGAACTGACAGAGATATTAAACTAAGCTTCCTTGAATATGGTTCATTTTGTAGATCTGACTTAGAACCATATAAATATTTTACATAATTATAAAACAAAATTAAAAGTAAAAAGCAGGCCAGACGTGGTGGCTCACCCCTGTAATCCTAGCACTCTAGAAGGCTGAGGCAGGAGGATAGCTCAAGGTCAGGAGTTAGAGACCAGCCTGAGCAACAGTGAGATCCCGTCTCTACTATAAATAGAAAGAAATTAATTTGGCCAACTAAAAATATATAGAAAAAATGAGCCAGGTATGGTGGCACATACCTGTAGTCCCAGCTACTCGGGAGGCTGAGGCAGGAGGATTGCACGAGCCCAGGAGTTTGAGGTTGCTGTGAGCTAGGCTGATGCCACGGCGCTCTAGCCCAGGCAACAGAGCGAGATTCTGGTCCCCCCACACCCAAAAGTAGAAAGCAGTCCCTAACAATAAACAATAACCTGAAATAAAGAAGCCCAAATGTGTATCTGGCTGGTGACACACCCACACAGAGAGGAACTATTCCGGGTGATCTAAAAACAGTGATCTGAATGTACAGCCCCTGGACTGATGCTTCTAGCAGTTATACTACTGGGATTGTGTTGGGATTGTTATTCTGGGACACAGCAAATGAGTAGTTGTGTTACTGTCTGGGGAACCTGGATTTTTAAGACTGGGCATCTAGATTTGTAAGATTAACGAAGTTAGGTTAAAAATCCTGTGGTCCTGGGCCAGGCGCGGTGGCTCACTCCCGTAATCCTAGCACTCTGAGAGGCCGAGGCAGGAGGATCATTTGAGCTCAGGAGTTCGAGACCAGCCTGAGCAAGAGCAAGTCCCCAGCTCTACTAAAAACAGAAAGAAAATAGCAGGACAACTAAAAATATATAGAAAAAATTAGCCCAGGCATGGCGGCGCATGCCTGTAATCCCAGCTACTTCGGGAGGCTGAGGCAGGAGGATCGCTTGAGCCCTGGAGTTTGAGGTTGCTGTGAGCTAGGCTGACGCCATGGCACTCACTCTAACCCAGGCAACAAAGCAAGACTCTGTCTCAAACAACAACAACAACAACAAAATCCTGTGGTCCCGAATGTGAAGTATAAGCATGAACTCACAAAATAGTTCACCTTTAAAAAAAACAAAATCCTAGCTCTGTCCACGGAAAGGCCTAGAAACAATAAGCAACCCTAAGCAACAAGCACCCAGCACCTCCAACTGTGGTCTCTAACACCATTTCCCACCAACAGGAGCTACAGTTCCTTGGAAAGACTGAATCTGATCAGGCCTCCAGGTTAGTTCTGTCCAAGAGAATGTTCTGTAACAATGGAAATTTTCTTATCTGCACTGTCCAGGTGGTAGTCATTGGTTGGTAGTTTGTGGCTATTGAGTACTTGTGATGTGACTGGTCAACTGAATTTTTAATTCTAATTAACTTAAATGTAAACATCCACATGTGGCTAGTGGCTACCACAATTGGACAACACATCTCTGGATGTAACTACCAAATTATAGGAAATAACCAACAGAGGAACATGCAAAACCATGATTAAGGGATAAACGATCTTGTTTCTTCAACTAAATGCTGCAAGAGGGAGAAAAGGGATGGAAGAGGAACCTATAGATTAAAACAAACTTAAGACGCACATAGACTCTGGTTCTGGAATTTGTTTCTAGAAGATCCAGGTGCAGAGCGGGGATGACCAGCAGAGGTGGGGGAGGGGGGTCACATGAATGACAGCCCAGCCATGAGATGGTAACTGGTGAAGGAAGGTGATGGGCACACAGATACGCATTATGATCTCTTATGCAGGCTTGGAACTCCCTATGATAAAAAGTCAGAGAGGCCGGGCGCGGTGGCTCACGCCTGTAATCCTAGCACTCTGGGAGGCCAAGGCGGGTGGATTGCTCGACGTCAGGAGTTCGAAACCAGCCTGAGCAACAGCGAGACCCCATCTCTACTACAAATAGAAAGAAATTAATTGGCCAACTAATATATATACAAAAAATTAGCCGGGCATGGTGGTGAATGCCTGTAGTCCCAGCTACTCGGGAGGCTGAGGCCAGAGGATTGCTTGAGCCCAGGAGTTCGAGGTTGCTGTGAGCTAGGCTGACACCACAGCACTCACTCTAGCCTGGGGAACAGAGTGAGACTCTGTCTCAAAAAAAAAAAAAAAGTCAGAAAGATGACCCGGGACTAATCTCTGCCTCCCCACCTTCTGGAATAGCAAAGGAGGAAGGGGGCCTACCGCTGTGAGATTCCACACTTACACATGAAATACTGGAAGGCCTTGGACTTCACAAGGATGTTAATGCCTGTTTGAAGAGAAGACACGTTACAAGGGAAATTTTCACGCACATTCCCCTACCACATCCTTCATGCATGAAGGCAGCCCGGGTATTTACGTCACTGACACTTAAGTTGCTGCTGACCCCGACCTGGGACCATGTGTTCGTCCACTTGAGTAACCATCATCCCAGTGGAATGCAAAACCCTCTAAAGACTATGGAATAACAGCTGTGCCCACAGGCCTAGCGGTGCGAGAAATCACAGAATAAAACACACCACCTTCTCTCTTGTTCCCAACGGCCCAGCTCCAGGCTTCTGGCTGTTTGCGTAAGAGATTCCCTGTGAGCTGACCAGACTCCCACGTGGAGCTTCGAAACGGGCATTAAACTAAGTAGCAATTGTTCGGTAAATATACGAGTGCTCAATTAAAAATCTCAAGTCTTACACTACATAAGCACCATGCAAGCGGCCACGCGATCTAGCTACATATCCTGCCACGGGAGGAGGGGAAACATGTGGCTGGGTGAAAGGGCAGGTTACAGAAAAGAATATGAAACGTGATCCTGTTGTTTCAAAAATGCACAGAAAAAAACAACAACAGGGAAACACATCAGAGAATTAACAGTGGTTATCTCTGGGTGGTAAATTCACATTTTCTTCTGATTACCTGACTTTCTAAGTTTTTTTCAATGATCATCTTTGGTTTTGTATGAGGAAAGGAAAATCCCCGAGCTGTCTTAGTTTGGTTAAGTTACCGATTTCTTTCCTACTCTGCTTCCTACCCCTTACCTCCCTGCTGGGTGGGTCACGCTCTCTCTTCACACACAGACATTCACACACTCATGCACACCCCTCTGAATACGCTCCTCAAATGCCCGTCTGTGGTCTCTGGAAACCCCGGCTGCCAAGACGCTGTCCCCAAGCCAACTTGCCTTTGAAGATGAGGAAGGCCGTCCTGGGGAGCTCATCGAACCAGTGCTCTCTGTTTCTCTTTGCCTGGCAAGGCAACGGGGCCACAGGGGAGAAGGGTCAGGGCCAGCGGCCAGAATCCAGCCCTGGGGCCAGGAGGCTGGCGTTCCTGTTCTGCTCGACCCACCGAACTGGGGAACACTGTTAGCATTCAGGGATCTAAATGACAACACAGACAGCCGGTGCCCACTGAGCATCACAGCGTGCCACGCGTATGCATCGCGTTTATATCACCCTGAAAAGAACCCTGCAGGCAGGGATTGCCCTTATCTTGTTTCACAGGTGAGACAAGCCTTGGCAAGGTTTGGTAACTTGCCTGGCGACACAGTGACTCATGCAATCTGAGATTCCGCGCCGCTAACCGTTGACGCTGTATCACAAATGTAAGGGCAGATTTGGGAGCCGGGGGCCACCTGCTATGCCCGAAGTGCACAGTGCCCAGCTGAGAGCCGAGCTGCTCTAGCAGGGAGAGAGCTGGACCCCAAGGACCCCAGGCCACCTCCAGTCTCACAAGAGCACTCACCTTCCACTTCAAGGCTGCAACTTCATAGATATCATAAAAGTCCTTTAGGCTGGCGTAAGGAAAAGGCAAGAAAGAAAAAAAATCAGACCACATTCCCACTGAACTTTGGTTCTCCCACTCACCTGTCCCTGGTCACCTTTACAGGTGAGGTGGGGGAGGAGGGGACCTCCTGTGAGTCCTGGTGCATCAGTGCCCAGGGGACTGGGGACTGTCACCCCCAGGCGTTTGGATTTCCTCTGCCCTTGTGGTACTATGAATACATGACCCGCCTAGTCTACACTGACCACGCTAACCACAGGTTCTGTCCCCTGGTGAGGCGGCCCCTGGGGTACTACAATTCTTAAGACACAAATGTCACCTCTTTCAGCGGCAGCCTTAATGGACCACCTGCGACTGAGTCCACCCCCAGCAGAGCTCGCTCGTTCTCATTGCCACGGCAGGCTGCACTTTCCCCACCGACCGGGCTTTGGTCATGAATGGTCTAGAGGGCCAGCACTACCCGTGCAGTTCTCAGGGTCCGCCCTTGGAGGCTGAGCCAGCCGTGCCCAGTGTGTGCGCACGACGGGGTGTCTTCACCCCTCTGTCCATCTGGCTCACGTGGGACCACCCCACCCCACTGGGCGCTCAGGGTCAGCAGCTGGGCCAGTCTACTTCATGGCCAGCACACTCATTTCTTATCAAGTCAGATCAAACCAGATTCGTGTTGGACTGTTGACACTTGCAAAAAGAATCCTAACGAATACAGTCTGCAAGTCTACAGGTGTAACACCTCCGTGAAGCAAACCAAAGTCTGTACCGAGCCTCCGGGCCTGCCCACCTGGTGCCTTCCCACACCCCGGCTCCCTCCCGTGAACGAGTGAATGCCGTGCCTGGCCATGCTCTCCGGCCTGGCACCTGCCCCTACCTGAGCAGGGGAGTGTTGTTCTGATTCAGCGCCTTGAAAGCAAGAAGTCGCTCCCTCGCACTCATGCGGGGCTTGTAGAAGCGCATGAGGCCTTCGAACTGCCTGTAGGAGATGCCGGCGGGCCTCTGGGGGAGGGAAGAGGGGAACAGAGGAAGGGGGACAGAGGAAGATTCGGAATCCAGACTGGCCCCCTCCCCCTGGGGCGGCCACTCCAGACCCAGGGTGCCCGCTCATGCCCCCAGGGGCAGGACTCCTGCTTTCTGAGTTGCTGGCCCTGCCGTGCTTAGGGGTTGCCCTGGGCAAGGGAGGGAGGACAGGGACCCGCCCCGGCCCCTCTCGGCCTACCCGCTGGCTGAGGAGCAGGCGGTAGGCGTGCTGGATGGCCGTCCGCTTATGCAGCAGCAGAGACTTGAACTTGCGCTTCTCGATGTCGTTGAAGGTGTCAAACACCACGGCCAGAAGCTGTGGGAGAAAAGCACAGAGCCTGGCTGCCCTGCACGCAGGGCCCCGCGCACCCGGGCTTCGTCCTCTGCCTCCGCAAGCCTTTCGCCCCGCCAGCCCGGGGTGCCCGGGCAGGACTCCCGCCTGCGCCTCGTGGTGTCGGAAGTTTGTCTCCAAGTCTCAACAGAGGAAGGCTGTTCGCTTCCACTTGAAAGTTTCTCTCTTCAGATACATGAAGACACCGTGACACGATTTTTCTCCAGGTTCCAAGTCTACCTGCCTTCTCTCCTCTCCCACGTGTCACCTACAGCTCGTCCCAGGCTGGGCAGGGGACAAGCCAGGGCAGGAGAAAGCAGCAAGAGGAAGGGGCCTGGGGCCTGGGCCCAGTCCCGCTCAGTCCAGCAGCTGGGGGGGCTGATGCCACTGCCCTCCCCACCTCACTGCAGGGGGACACCACTGTGCCCACGCTTCCTCCTCCTGCCCCGTTACTTCCCCTTGTGAGTCACAGCTTCCCGAGTGGCCCCAGAAATAACGGGGACGAGGAGGACGGCACGCATGGAAATGACATCCTGAGGTTGCCTAATACCGAAGTCAGCTTATTGATGGCCCTGTCTGCATTATGGGGGGCGGGGGAGGCATCTGAAAGAATCCTTCAGAAATACTTTGTCTTTCAAAAATGTTTCGAGGGAAACTCTCTGGTCCTTTCTACCCTTCAAACTGGCCCACCATTTTTTTCCTGTAGATCAAGAGTCAGCAAACTTTTTCCATAACAGGCCAGATAGCAAGTATTTTAGACTTGGAAGGCCAGATGGGCTGTTTCAACTACTCAACTCTGTGGTTGTATCAGGAAATCGGCCACAGACGATATGTAAACGAAATGGCCATGGCTGTGTCCCAATAAAACTTTATTTACAAACACAGGCTGGGGGCCAGGTTTGGCCAGGAGTGTGCTGGCCCCTGCCCTAGATTTTCACAGCTCTAAATACGTTACAAATGAAAACAAATACAAAAAGAGATAGCCCGCATATTTCTTTTTGGTCTTGAGGAATTAAAAAAAGAAAATATCTTCCTTTTTAAGACTTCACGTTTTTAGGAGATTTCACAAGTCTACCCCAGGGAAGATGGTTGTTTCCATCTCCACACTGGGCCTGTGGTGGCTGGTATGAGGATGCTCTTCGGAAGTAGAAAATGAACACAAGCCTTGATCCCAAACCCCTCTCTGATAACTCCGGCATTGACGTGTTCCCGATGGCAGGGACGGTCCTGGCACCATCCCAGCCTCTGCAAACACCTCCAGAGGTCCCTGTGCACAAGGCTTTCTGTTCTCCCTCTGCGAACGTGCTCTGTGTCAGGTTTTATGATGCTGCTGACAAACGGGGTTAGCAGCACACGAGACGTTCCTGGCACGTGGGGACGGAAGGACAGAGGAGTGGGGACAGGGCTCTGGAATGAGCCCGGCCCAGCCACTCCGAGCTGTGCAGGTGAGGGCAGGTCACTGTACCACTCTGATCCTCGGTTTCTTCATGTGTATACTGAGCACTATAATCATAACAGAACCTCCAGGCTTGGACGGTAAGTCATGGCAAAAGCTGTCTGCGTGCTGCCTGGCTCAGGCTTCACAAATGCCAGCTTTCACAGCGACAGGACGCTCAGTCCTTATCTGTGGGGCCCACAGCCAGGAATTCAACCAGCCGCGGATGGAAAATACTTGGGGGCGGGGGAATGGATGGTGGCGCCTGCACCGAACATGTACAGAGTACTGTCTTGTCACTATCCCCTAGGCGACACAGTCTGACAGCTCTTTACACGGCACTCACGCGGTATGAGGTAGCGTGAGTAGTCTAGATAGCAAATATGGGAGGACGTGTGTTGGTGACGTGCGGATACGATGCCATCTCGTATCAGGGACCTGTGCACCTGTGGATCCTGGCACCTGTGCTGGGGCCGGGCCACGGCTCTGATGCCCAGGGATGACTGTGTGTGTTTGCTGTAAGAGTGCCAAGGCCCAGGGTGGCCCTGGCTTAGAATCTAGCAGCAGGAGCAGCAGCAGCACTAACCGGGTGAGGACGCTACCGCCAGCGCCCAGCTCAACTCCGTACGTCCTGCCGGGGTCCCCAGACCCACACCTGACTACGAGTCCGGGACTCCCCGCCCCGACGGTCCGCCCTGGAGGCCGAAGGCGTCCCCACCGCTGCGCCCCCTCCGAGCCCGCGGCATGGTCACGCACCAGGTTCATGATGAAGTACAGCTCGATGGACAGGTACACGATGAAGAAGACGCAGGACCAGGGGTTGCGGGAGTAGGAGGGCATCATCACGTCTGGGAAGCTGCAGTGGCGGGGGTCACCAGGGGGCCCGGGCCAGCCCGCCGCCACCTTCCCAGCCTCCACCCCCCCTTCCCCTACTCTCAGCTCGGGGGGCCGATCCCGCCTCCCAGCGGTGCCGGCAGCCGTCCGAGCGAGACGTGGGCCACACCGAGCTGGGAGGAGGCGGCCACCCAGGCCCCAGCAGGGCCGGGCCAAGGCAGAGCCCGCGCTTACTTGGCCGTGGTCAGGAGGACGAACAGGCTCACGATGCTGTTCTCCAGGGTGCTGAAGTACTGTAAGGGAAACAGAGTCAGGAGAACACGCTGGGGCCAGGCTGAGAGCACGGAGCCGCCAGGGACAGGCCACAGCGGGCCACCTCGAGCACCCTGCCCTCCCCCGCCCCCGCTCCTTGGTCCTCCCGAGGAATCAAGGGACCCAGAGGAGCAAGCAAATGTGCAGTCCGGAGGCCTGCCCCTCCTGGACGTGATGCTCTGGCGGAGGCAGACTCCTGACTCCGGGGACTTTCCCCCAGGAAGCCACGTGTTTGGGCAATTAGCCTGGCTCCCTCCCACCGCGTCTCTGCCAAAACATTCCAACGTTCTGAACCTGATCCTGGCAACGTCCCGATCAAGGGCAGGGAAGGGGATCCCTCAGCTCTCAAGGAAGGACACGGCCAAGTGTGAGTGACAGGGACCCTGCACAAGCCAGGCTGAGCACCCCTCCCTTGTGTGGCTAACAGGGTCACTGCAGCCACCCTGTCTGGGCAAAAGGCCCCACATAAAAGAAGGGACAAACATGCCAACTACTTACGGGGTCTGAAGGATTAGGGGAGAACAAGTAGAAACCTAGAAGGTGGTAGAAAAACAGACCAAATAAAGGATTAGAGCAGAGGTCCCAAACCTGGGTGTCAGCGAGCCCAGGAGGGGCAGCAGGGAGCAGTGGGGACTGCAGCCCCGGTGAGCTCAGACGCTCTCTGCCGTACGGGAACACCCGAGCACTGTTGGGTCTAGCCTCTATACAGGCTGGAAATCTGTATTTTTTTGTAGAATCTAATTTTAAAATGCTGGCTCAAGTTTTCAGACCAAACGAAACCTATCTGTAGGCTGGATTTGGAGTCCAGACTGCTGGTTTGCAGTCTCTGGTTCTAAGAACAGGGGCAGTTAAATAAAATTCCAAAGGGGTCCCGTCCTTCCCGGCAGCCAAGGTCCCGGGTTGGAACGTTATTCCATTCCTCCCTCCCAAATGGGCTATTCCCCAGAGGCCTTGAAATCCTGAGTGGGAAAAGGGAGAAACTGTACCCTCGGGGGAAATCAGCCTCCCCGGAGAAGCACAAATGAATTTCTACCAAGAATTTGGGGTGGGGAGTAGGAGGATGGGGGAGCCGGCGCTAAGGACAGGGCAGTCACGAGGGCCAGGGCAGGGTCCACGCTGGCGCTGGCCTTAGAGTCAGGGCTGGCTAGTCCCACTGTCTTTGCCATCCGAGGAGTCCTAAAGATAAGACCTCAGCCTTCCTAGCCGTGCGCAGGGACCTCCACGGCCGAGGCCCTGTGTCTGGATGTGGCTGTCACAGGCTCAGCCTTGTCTGGAGAGCCAGGGCCTCAGCCTGAGGACACGTGCCTTATACCTGGTGACGCTGAAGCGTGCAGACCCTCACGGCCCAGGCAGGTGTCTTAGAGACTCCTAGGCACGTGTACCAGGAAACGCTCAGGAATGTTCCCTGCAGTGGGATTTGGAGTAAGAAAAATGCCCGGCAGAAGATCAGATAAATGAGTTTTGGCGAATTCGCTACACTCCAGTGAAAATGAATCAGCTGATCTACATGTATCAACACGAATAAATCTCAAAAACAAACGCTGAGTGAAAGAGCAACCTGCAGAAGGGAACACACGCATTATGCAAACACTTATAGGAATATTTTAAACATACAAAGCAACACTCCTGATTTGTTGCTTAAGGAAATATAAACACGAAGTAAAAACACAAAGACACGCCTGGGAACAATCGCCTTAGGACGGGGCACCGCTGGGGGGACAGGGAATTGAGACAGTGAAAGGCTACAAGCTGCCTTCCCTTTCGTTTCTAAGACTCCATTGCCCACGTTGGACGGTGAGTCCGTGGGTGTCTGCATTACTTTTAAAACCTTTCTGAATTTCTAAAACTGTCTGCTATGGTCTGAACGTCTGTGTCTCCCCCAAATCCATGTGTTAAAGTCCTAACCCCCATGATGACGGTACTGGAAGGTGGGGCCTCTGGGAGGTGACGAGGCCGTGAGGGTGGAGCCCTCGCAAGCGAGATCGGCCCCGGGAGTGCCTTGCCCCACCCGCGCCGTGAGGACGCAGCAGGAAACAGGCCCTGACCAGACACCAACTGCCTGACCTTGGACTGCCCAGCCTGCGAGAAATAAATTTCTGTCGCGCATAAGCCACCTGGCCCACGGTGTTTTGTGACGGCTGCCCAGAAGGACTGAGACTGTCAAAACAGTTATTCTTCGACTGTGAACCTGCTTTTAGAGACCAGCTGGGGCCGGGGGAGTAGGGAGCTCACCGAGGATGGCGAAGATGACCATGAAGAAGAGCAGCAGCAGGAGGATGTCCATGAAGGGCGGCAGGGACTGGAAGATCTGCCGCAGGTTGCTGGGGGGAAGACAGACGGGCCAGGTGGGGGGGCGCCCAGCCAGGGGTGGGCTGTCTGGGACGCCCCCGTGGGGGACACGTTCATCAACAGGGGGCCTGCTGCGCTGACTCGGAATACCAAACCCCGCTGCACCCTGGCGTGACAGTGTGATTAGTTTTTTCCTAAAGTGGCTTGAGACCCCCACTTGGGGGTGACAGGGAAGAACTGCGGCAGACACAGCACACGCGGCCACCTCTACCTGGTGACAGCCCTGGCAGGCAAATGCCCTGCCAGAGAGGAAGGAGCAGAAGGCCAAGGAAGGCAGAAGGCCAAGAGCATAATCCTGAGTACAGAGGTCAGCTTCCACGAGTGGGATGTGGGCTGCACGAGGACATTCCAGGGCCACCCGGTCGTGGGGCACCTGTTCCCAGCTTTGAGGACGGGCACGGAGAATCACTCAGTAGCCCGTTCTCATCAACAGTCCCCAAGAAATTTTCCAGACGCAGTTTCCAAAAGGAAATTTAAGTCTAGGCTGGGTCTGGTTTGAGTTCAGTCCCACAGCCTCGGTGGAGGTGTCACGAGAGCCTGCGTGAGTCACCTGCTGCGTTTGGGCAGGTAACAAGCTTAGAGACAGCAGCTAGCTCCGGAAGGCCGCAGGTAAGACGGCAAGAGTCCTGACCCAGAGCCAGAAACCCTACCCTGCAGCAAGAAAATTGCCTTCACCGCCTCTCGGGTCACACGGCAGAGGGAGCGCGAGCGTGCATGTCTTCCGTGTCTCCCGCCACCATGCAGGGCTGACCCCACCACTCACTGACGCCCAGGGTCCTGCTCCCTGCCCGGAGGTCAGGCCCGATGGCGACCATCTGGCCAGCTCCCCACACAGCCTTACCGCCGGACGCCACCGCAGTACCGACAGTCCACCAGGAAGATGCAGCGCAGGGCCCGGGTCACCCGCACGTGGGACGTCTGCCGCACCAACACCACGATGGCCTCAACAAACTGCACCACCAGCACGGAAGTCTGCAGGGCGGCAGCACAGAGCTCTCTCAGCAAAGCCGCCACTCTGCCTGTCCCCCTGCTGCCCCCCTGCCTGTCCCCTGCCTCCCTCTGCCTGTCCCCTGCCTGCCCTCCTGATGTCCCTCTTCCATGCCCCTGCCTGTTCCCCTGGCGTCCCCTCTGCCTGTCCCCCGCCTGATCCCCCTGCCTGTCACTTGCCTGTCCCTCTCCTCCCCCTGCACTGTGTCCCCCGGCCTGTTCCCCTCTGCCTGTTCCCCTGCCTGTCCCCGTCTGCCTGCCCCCTGCCTGCCCCCCCTGCCTGTCCCCCTGCCTGTCCCCCTGTCCTGTCTCAGCCTGGTCCCCGGGGCCCGTCCCCTCTGCCCGTCCTCTGCCGTTCCTACCTTCCCCTGCCTGTCACCCCTGCTGTCTCCCTGCCTGTCCCTCCCTGCCTGTCCCCCTGCCTGTCCCTCTGCCTGTCCCCTCTGCCTGTCCCCTCTGTCTGTCCCCCTGCCTGTCCCCCTGCCTGGCCTCCCCAACAGCACCAGGAAGCCCTGAGGTCTGCAGCTCATCCTCGTCCCTGCTTCCTTGGGCACACTCTCCTAGACCACCTCTCGTCCTTCACACTACAGAGTGCCACCCGGACACGCTCCTACCCACGCCACGCTCCGCAGCACAGAGAGCAGGGGCACACCACCAGTGACAGGCCAGCGCCAGCCTGGGGGGCAGGCAGAGCTGGGGGCGACCCTACTCTCTGGGATCTGGATCCCAGTCTCCTCTGTCTGGACGAACGCAGGACAGTGACAGCGACACACCCGCCTCCAAGGTGACCGTGCCAGGGCCGGCATGTACTGAACACTGAATCACGTTTGAGACGGCTGGTGTCGCCAGGACACCGGGGGCATCCGGCACGGCCGGAGGCATGGTGGGGACACTCTGAGCGCAGACTGGGCCCGCAGGGGACTCTGAATTGGGATGCGGGCTTGAAGGTGGCATGGGAGGAGATGCTGCAGGGACATGGACAGACGGAAGGACACGTCACCTTAACCATGGTCCGTTTGTGCCGGACGAAGGTGTGGAGGCCCAGCCAGCGCAACTTCATGCAGAGCTCAAACACCACCACTGCGAGGGCGAACAGCTCCAGGGTGGCGTGGACCTGCAACCGGAGGGTGTGGGGAGGCGTCATCGCCAGCCCAGCCCGCAGCCACCTCCTTCTGTGCCCAGCCCCGCCAGGACCCCCTCCCGACACACACCAGAGCTCCAAACCCCGGCCCTGGGCACCCAAAGCCTGAGCCTTGGTGATGGGGCCTTTCTTGGAACAACTAAACAAAAACTTGATATTCATGAAACAGACATGCTGACCCATGCAACGAAAAATCTGGGAGGAGGCCGGGCACAGTGGCTCATGCCTGTAATCCTAGCACTCTGAGAGGCCAAGGTGGGTGGATCACTCAAGGTCGGGAGTTCGAAACCAGCCTGAGCAAGAGTGAGACCCTGTCTCTACTAAAATTAGAAATTAATTGGCCAACTAAAAATATATAGAAAAAATTAGCTGGGCATGGTTGCGCATGCCTGTAGTCCCAGCTACTCGGGAGGCTGAGGCAGAAGGATTGCTTGAGCCCAAGAGTTTGAGGTTGCTGTGAACGAGGCTGACACCACAGTGCTCTAGCCCGGGCAACAGAGTGAGACTCTGTCTCAAAAAAAAAGAAAAAAGAAAAATCTGTGAGGAGCCTGAAGTTTAAAAGAAAAAAGAGATAAAATAAAATTTTATATCTAGCTTTGTTCCAGGAAGCATTTCATATAATTTACAAAAGACCTATAAAAGACATTAAGGAAGCATGAATTAGGGGCTATAAAACAAAAACTGGCTGGGCGTGGTAGCCTGTAATCCCAGCACTCTGCGAGGCTGAGGCAGGAGGATCGCTTGAGCCTAGGAGTTTGAGGTTGCTGTGAGTTATGATGATGCCGTGGCACTCTAGCACAGGTGACAGGGTGAAATGTCAAATGAAAAAAAAAGGTGGGGGGGGGGGGGGGGGGAATCCCAGAATTAACTGAAAATCCAATAGTCCAAGAGACAAGGGCTGTCAAGCAGATAGCAGCCCCCAAAATTCTTGTCCTCATTTTGGACAAAAGGACAGGAAAAACAGGTGGAAATCCTCAAATGAGCCTCCCTCTACTTGGGCTGCCTGCAGCCTCTCCAGGGACCAGTCCTCTCGGCTGTCTCACCCGGCCCTTGACAAACAGGCAGTGACCAACAAGAAGCCAGATAAAGACCCTGAATGAGCACCCGGTCCACGTGGCCCCTGCCCTCCTGGACCCCCCGCCCAGCCGGGAAGTCACGTGCTGCCAGGACGCGGGAAACGGCCTGCTGGGCAGGTGCAGCCGCAGGGGCTGGCAGGGTGAAGGGCTGGGGAGAGGGTTCTGGGAGGGGGGCGGCATGGGGGAGGCATGGAGAGAAAGGCGTGCAGACCAGCTGGGAATGGCTGCAGCAGTCTCAGGCAGGGCTTCCTTCCGTGCCTGCCACATGCTCTCTGAGAAGGGGACGAGGACGCCTCCACACGCTGGACGCTGGCTCTGCCTGGGTGTGAGGACAGCTGCGGCTGGGCTGCCCACGACACATCCCCAGCCGTCCATGGGTGACCACACCCGACTGCCTTCTCCTTGGGGGTTGGCGGTAGCCCGCTGTGACTGCCCATCAGGTGACCTGCCCACCTGCAGCCTCCATCCACCGACCCTGAGTGCGGCCCATGGGACCTGCCCTTCCCTGGAGTTCCCTGGTGGCAGAATCCCAGAGAGACTGGGGGGAGGACGGTCACTCCAGCGGGGACACCCAGGCAAGACGGTCGAGCCATTTGTTCCCGAGGCCTCTAGGACCACCTCACACCTCTCCGTCTCGAGTCCATTTGTGGTGTCCGCCCTTCCAGAACGTTCCCTCCCGGGGTTCTGCGCAGCCCGCCCGAGGGCACTCACGTAGATGCCGAGGCGCAGCGCGGGCACGGCGGGGGCCTCGCACAGGGACAGCAGCAGCAGCAGCAGGGCCGTGGCCAGCTCCATCAGGTAGAAGAGGTGGTTGTGTGCAAAGAGGTAGGCCGCCAGCGCTTTGGCATCCTTGGGGTGGGTGAAGAACTTGTCGTTGTTCTCGCCTTCCTGAAAAGACAAGAGCGCCGTGGGCATGTGAGCTGGGAGACCGTGGGCACCACGGAGGAGCCGGGGGCAGGAGGACAGGAAGGCCCCGGGCAGACGAGGGGAGGTCCAGGCCAGAGACGGAAGGTGAGGGAAAATCGAAGTTACATTCCCCAGGAAACTGCACGCTGGCCCAGTGTCACCCCGGCCCGCTAAGGGGGCTCAAGAGACCTGCTGCCTCTTAAAAACCACCTGGAGGAACCAGGGATAAAAAGCTCCCGAGAGAGCCGGGCGTGATGCCAGCCTGTGGTCCCAGCTAGCTACCCGGGAGGCCGAGGTGTGAGGCTCGCTGGAGACCAGGAGTCCCAGCCCGGCCTGGGCGACAGGGCTGTGCAGAGGCCGACACCGGTGCTTGGGCACAAGGCGACCGAGAGGAGGAAACGTGAGAACGTGTGTAAGGCACCTGGGACGGGGTCTGACACACGGTAAGCTCGTCACAGATTCAGCCATCATGATTATAGGTTATATGAACATTATGGGGAAAAAACAAGCCAAAAGCCCCACCTAGTCAGACCCTTTAAACCCATCGAGAGCTGCCCAGAGGGGTGTCGCTACCATACAGTTACTTAACTCAGGATTCCCTATATCTTACTTTATTTTTAATTGACAGGTAATAATTGTATTTATGGGGTATAATGTAACATTTTGATATATTTATACATTATGTAATTATTAAAATCAAGCTAATGAACATATCCATCACCTCACATGCCACTTTTTCTTTTGCAGTGGGAACATTTAAAATCTATTCTTTCATCAGCCGGACGCAGTGGCCCATGCCTGTAATCCTAACACTCTGGGAGGCCAAGGCGGGCGGATTGCTCAAGGTCAGGAGTTCGAAACCAGCCTGAGTAAGAGCGAGACCCCATCTCTACTAAAAATAGAAAGAAATTAACTGGCCAACTAAAAATATATAGAAAAAATTAGCCAGGCATGGTGGCGCATGCCTGTAGTCCCAGCTACTTGGGAGGCTGAGGCAGGAGGATCACCTGAGTCCAGGAGTTTGAGGTTGCTGTGAGCTAGGCTGACGCCACAGCACTCTAGCCAGGGCAACAGAGTGAGACTCTGTCTCAAAAAAAAAAATCTATTCTTTCAGCAACTTTGAAATATACCTTCCATTATTAACTACGGTCACCATGCAGTGCAGTGGATCTCAAAATCGCATTCCTGCCGTCCAACGGGATCTCTGTGCCCTTAACCCCATGCCCCACTCCCCACCCTGCCCGATCACCACCCTTCTCGCCGCTGCTAGGAGTTCAACTTTCTTAGACTCCACACGTGAGTGAGACCAGGCAGTATTTGTCCTTCTGTGTCGGGCTTATTTCACTTAGCATGATGCCCTCCAGTTTCATCCTGTTGTCACAAATGACTCAGATTTCCTCCTTTCGAAAGGCGGAATAGCAGTATTTCGTTATATTAATACACCACAGTTTCTTATCCACTTACCCACCGATGGGCACGAGTTGTGGCTGACACTGCAGTGAACCAGGCAGTGCAGATAACTCTTTGCCACGCTGGCTTCATTTCCTTTGGAGACAGACAAGCAGTGGGGTTGCTGGCTCGTGCGGTGGCTCCATTTTAATGATTTGAGGAACCTCTGTACTGTTTTCCATAGTGGCTGCACAACTGACACTCCTGCCCACAGTGCGTGAGGGCTCCCTTTCCTCCACGTCCTCACCCACACTTATCCTTCATCTCTCGGGGGACAGCTGTTCCAACAGGTACTCGGTGATGTCCCATGCCCACTTCCCACTTCTCCACGTACTTTGCCATTTCTCTCTAATTCCCTAATCTCTGCAGAAGGGTGGGCCCCGCCCTGGATCCCTTCACCCCGACGGTAACCAGACAGCAGCTGCCCCTACGCAAGTGCTCACCAGGACCAGGCGCCGTGCTGGCCCTTCACCAGAGCCCTTCTCACTCCTGTCACTCCTGTCACTCATCACTCCTGTCATTTACTCCTGACAACTTCCCTTTCAGGCGGGACTTTGATTATCTGCATTTGACAAAGATCAGAAAACCACAGCAGGCAGAGTTTCAGTAGCGGACTGGAGTGACAGAGTCGGACAGTCAGGTTGCAGCATCTCTGCTCTAACGACCATCTTGGCCTTCTGCTACTGAGGTAAACAATAAATGACAAAGCCCTGGAGGTCCACCTGAAAACACAAGCAGGCCGGACGGGGTGGCTCACACCTGTCATCCTAGCACTCTGGGAGGCCGAGGCGGGAGGATCGCTTGAGCTGAGCAATTCGAGACCAGCCTGAGCAAGAGCAAGACCCTAGCTCTACTAAAAATAGAAATATTAGCCGGGCGTCACGGCACATGCCTATAGTCCCAGCTACTCCGGAAGCTGAGGCAGGAGGATCGCTAGAGCCCAGGAGTTTGAGGGTGCTGTGAGCTACGATGATGCCACAGCACTCTAGCCCAGGGGACAGAGCGAGACTCCATCTCAGAAAAGAAAACAAAAGCATGTGACACGCCAAGGCCATTGCTGACCCTCCTCGCTAGGGTCAGCTTTCTAGGGCGAGGTCTCCATTGCCTCCCTGGAGCTGGCGGGCACAGAGGAAGCAGGGCCTCCCACCTGAGCAGCTCTGTCCGCGGTCACCAGCAGCTCATGCTTAGTGACCTCGTGAGCACTTATTTGGCGCATGTTCTGCATGCATCACCTTGCTCAGTGCTTCTCACCAGGGAATGATTTTGCAAAACCACCACCCCACCATGCCCCCAACCTTTGGCAATGCCTGGAGACATTTCTAGTTGTCACAATGCGGGTGGGAGACGCTACTGCCGTCTAGTGGTAGATTCCAGAGATGCTGCGCGACATCCTACAATGCACAGGATGCCCCCACTGCACAGTACGATCCAGCCCCACCCGGGCGGCCCAGGCGGAGGCCTTGCCTCACTCACTCCTGCACAAACCTCGGAGTGGAGACTGTTCCCACGGGCTCCACTTCCTAGAGGAGGAGAGTGGAGGAGCCGGCACGTAAGCCTGAACTCCCTCACCCAGAGCCCTTCCGAAAGCATCCCGGCTGTCCAGGAATGCAGCCGAGACGTCGATTATTCTGGGCTGAGACCACCCTTGCCATCCTCACAAACCCCTCTTCTGGGAAAGGCCTTGCCTGAGGTTTGCAGTGACTGAGCGAGTCACTCCCTTGAAGCTGGATAGGTTGCTACCCTCATTAGCAAAAAATAAAGTCAAACCGCAGACCTGGCCGCAGACCCCGCGGGGCAGGCCCAACAAAGGGAGCAAACATTCCGGCAGGCAGATGGAGGGCAGGCTGGGCGCGGCTGCGGTTTGCACTGCCACCTCCATGCTCATGGTGGGGGGTGGGGGCAGGACACACACAGTGGCCTGGGAAGCTTCTGGTTTCAATTACTAAAAACGCAATTCTCAAGCAATTTCTTCCAACAAACAGCCAGGACTGGAGGCCTGGCTAGAAGAAATCACTGACACGTGAGGCTCAGACTTTAACTCTGGGTCTTGGAATTGCCCCGGAGGAGACAGGGGGCGGACGGAGGGACATGTTACTGACGTCACTGGATTCTGATCCAAACCCCAGAGGAAGACATGGGCCTTTTTTCCTGGCTGCTATTTATAAACTGGATTAGGAAAAACAAGGAAGGCCAGCTGTCGTGATTCCGAGCCTTCGCTCTCTTCTCCCTAGGGTGGAAGTCCACACAGAAATGAGTGCTGGCGCAGAGGCCAGAGGACCGCTGAGCAGGTGGCTCCCGAGGGTGAGCGAGTTAGCAGGTAAAATGTGGCAGGAGAGAAAACCGCCGGCACCAGTTACCCTCAGAACAGCCAGGGCCAATTACCCGAGCACTCCAGCAACCCGGCTCACCGCGGGCACTCGAGCAGCTGCGAGCACAGAAAGAAAGAACATCTTGACACCAGCTAAACCCATCTTCCAGAAACAGCCATGACCCACTGCTCACAGGGATCTGGGTTTTGCTTTTATTTTTATTTTTAAAAAATGATACTTTTTCAGTAAAATAATTCAAATAATACACAGAATTGGAAGGTAGTAAAAACTCCATCAGCCAGAGACAATTTGATATGCAGAATAACTTTCCAGATGTGTGTGGATGTCTGTACATATACCCACGTATATGCTGCTAAGTGTACATAAATTTTATATGAAAATGATCACAGTACACCTGCTATTCTGTAACTACTTTTCCACAAATACGTGACCCATTTTCACGTGGATATGGATACACGTGGTCAGGTACAGAAATAACGCAACAATGTATAGAAGAACAAACATAATTAGGAAGCTAGGTGGATAGTTTAAAACCAAGCCCTGGGCCGGGCGCGGTGGCTCACGCCTGTAATCCTAGCTCTTGGGAGGCCGAGGCGGGCGGATTGCTCAAGGTCAGGAGTTCAAAACCAGCCTGAGCAAGAGCGAGACCCCGTCTCTACTATAAATAGAAAGATATTAATTGGCCAACTGATATATATATATAAAATTAGCCGGGCATGGTGGCGCATGCCTGTAGTCCCAGCTACCCGGGAGGCTGAGGCAGAAGGATCACTCGAGCCCAGGAGTTTGAGGTTGCTGTGAGCTAGGACGCCACGGCACTCACTCTAGCCTGGGCAACAAAGCGAGACTCTGTCTCAAAAAAAAAAAATAAAAAAAAAATAAAACCAAGCCCTGCTGTGGTGTGGCCATCCAGGCAGGCAGCAGTGCTAGTTGATTGGTTATCAGCAGGCCCTAAATCCATGACTCTTCATTGGGTAAGAAAAGCTGGTTTGGAGTTGCTGAATGTTGTGTTAATTCTGCTGTTTGCTTATAGTTGAATAAAAATAAAAACCTTGAATGAGAGAAAAAAAAAAAACAAAAAACCAAGCCCTACAACTTACTAGCTGGGTGGCCTTGGACTTCACGTGGCCCACCTGAGTCTCAGTTGCCACATCTGTAAAGCGGGAGATAATCACAAGGGCCTCAGAGGATTGTTATTAATACAAAGATTAGCAGGTGTCCCGTATTTTTGTTACCAACGTCCTTACCTGCTCAGGGAAAGGAGGAATTGTCAGGTTCCTGAGGTCCCCAACCATTCTGCCTCTGTGTTCTGACCCACCCCACCCTCCTATTCAACCTCGGAGAAGGTGGCGTGAATAAGGCGACCCTGCTAGATCATTAACAGGAATGCCTGCGCTGGCTAAAACTGTCCTAAAACGTTTCTGTCCCCTTCACCTGAAACAAAATGTCCTTGCTTTAGGAGCACAGGTCTATGTGAGCCCGCATGAACACACGAGAGACAGACGCTGAACTATCATATAAATGTCTGAATTGTATTAATTATTTTTTTAATGAGAAAACGAATACTGGCAGCGGAGAGCTGCTTCAGACAAAAAAGATAAGGGAAAATTATCATTGAAATGAATTTAAGAAAAACCTCATCCAAACCCTTACTCAATGCATACAGAAACTGAAATCTTACAGAAACAAGAATGGCAAGATTAAGGCAAAAATGCCACGGCCAGTGGGGTTGGTAGTAAAAAGGCAATTTCTCCCCTGGAGAAGGCTCCACCTGGAACAGCCTTATATCCAAATATCTAAATAGCAAGTGCCTTAAAAAATGTTGATTCCACCTGGTAAATCTATTACTTAGAGTCTTTCCTAGTAAAATTATCCTAGACATGAGACACAGAAAGAGAGAGAGAGAGAAATGCATAGATTGTCCTTACGTTATCATTCACAATAAGGAAAAATATCCAAGATTATCAGGATAGTTAAGTAAATTAGGATAATTTACCTGATGCAATTTAAAGCCATTTAAATTATGTTTACAAAAGTGTTATAAAAACATGAGGAAAAAAACTTATACTATAATACATGCTATAAAACAAAGACTATACAACTGCAGATACCAGATGACTTTCAAATTATTTTAGAATATATATATTATTCTTAAAACACATATTCTTTTTTTAACCTGGAAGGAAATGACAGTTGACAGTGACTGCCTTTGGTGAATGTTTTTCATTTCCTCTTTATAGCTCAATTTGTTGTACTAAGCATGCATTACTTTTATTAAAAATATTTTTTTTTTTCAAAAAAAGGGAAAACCAATCATGAAATAGCAAACACGAAGGCAGCAGCAAGTTAAACAGGAAAGAAAGGAAGAGCTCTAAGTGCCCCACGCCATGCTGGCAAACCCGCTACGGACAGCGTTGAGCACACAAAGAATTTCCTCCTGAGAACCTGCCCCCTCAGAGTGGCCTGAGAAGATGGGGGGGGGGAGGCTAGGAGACAGACTCAGGGAAGCCCTGGGGCAGGCACAGCCCCAAACTGGGGGTCAGCGGACAAGCTGGTGCTCTGTGAGCACGATCAAGTTAGCTCGCAGGACCGTCTTACGAACAACTAGCTCACTCGTGAGCAGCAGCGGGCACCCAGGGCAGAACTGAATTTCTGGGCAGCTAAGAGAGCCCCGGCTGCCCCACCCAGCCGACAGGTGCACAGAGCGGCCAGGTGCCGAGTGGGAGACACTCACCTGGAGGTAGATCGCTGCCTCTTGATAATTCATCTCCCAGTTGGGGCTGGTGGGCGTGGAGGGGGAACTCTCGCCCGCGGAGCTCAGACTGGGAGTCTGGGAGTCGTGGATGGCATAGCTGCCCCCATCTGCATTGGAGGAAGACAGAGAGTCACTGACCACCCAGGCTGGAGAGAATAAAGACACCATTCAGCAGGGGGAAAGGCTGGCAGTCACTTCGCACGCTCAAACGGACATCCCATAATCTTCCAGCCAACACTCCATCCTGTGTTCTAGGGACAGCGAGAGTGAGTATGGCTGGTTAAAAATTTCTTTCTCTTGTTAAGTGAAGAAAAGCAAGTACAGAAGGGCATATACAGGCTGCTGTCTTTTGTGTAAAAAACAGAGGGAACAAGAAAACACACATATATCCACTTATCTTTATAAAATGAAACGCAGGAAGGGAAGATGAGAACTCCATGAAACTGGTTACCTGTAAGGGGGGTGAGCGACAGGGTAGAAGTGTCACTCAAAGGGAGTGCGGTATTTTTTGTACACTTTGACTTTTGGAAGCATGTTAATACTCTACATGGTTAAAAATTAAAAATAACTAGATTTGCCCCGCGGTGCAAGGCCAGCTGTTGCTTTTCCCGGCCGGCATCCGTGGCCTCCTGTTCCAACAGCACCGCCCTGGTCTGCCTTTGCAGAGCCACCCTCCTCGCTCTCCACCCACATCTGTGGCCCTGGCCGACTCCAGCCTGGCTCCTCGGGCAGGGGACCCGGGCCTGGCAATACGAGCCCCTGGTCTCCCCTGGGCACAGGGTTTTGGATCAGGCCAGGGGTGCTGGCCCCAGCTTGGCCAGTGAGGGCTGAACTTGGAACTATTCCTGGACCCATTAGGAAGGAGGGGCTCTTTCCCTGTTGTCACTGGCGGCTGCCTCTGCCATCACGTGGGAAAGCCTGCCTGGGAAGGAAGTCAACACAGAACAAAACAATAAGCAAGAGATAACACCCACGGCACCGAAATCCACCCCTTCGCTTCCAAAATCTGAGCTGTTTGAGTCTGTTGAGCTGGGTTTGTCACAATAATCAAGTGTCTCTACTGCTACACATGGTAAGTGGTGACAGCCAGAAATGACTCTCAACTTGTGAAGTTATTGGGAAGAAGTGAATCTAGGATGAAAGTCTGGCTCCCCATATCCACACTGTAAGTGATCTGCCTGTAGGAAGATAAAGAATGGAATCAGTGCCTGGATACCGAGATTTGCGCCGCTGCCAGGGAGCAAACGTGTCAGGCTCCCAACCACACGGGACAGGGCAGGAAACCGGCTGGGCTTACAGGGCTGTTGGGTCACAAAAGGCCCTTCTGATCTTGAACTGCCAGCAAGGGCAACCGAGTCTGGCCATGTGCAAAGTGCTTCCCCATCCATTTTGAAGAACAGTTTCATGGGGGTATAAATGACACGTTAAAAAACTGCACATAGCTGAAGTATGCAATTTGATTCTGACACGTGCATACCTGCGACATCATCACGACAATCTAGGTAACGTGTCCACCACCCTCTCGTGCCTCCCTGCCCATCCCTCCCCAGGCACCCACGGATCTGCTTTCTGTCCCCGTTAGATGAATCTGCATCTCTTAGAACTCTACATAAATGGAATCGGTACGTGTTCTTTCCTCTGGCTCCTTTCACTCAGCATGATTATTTAAAAACTCATCCACGTTGTGCTACGTATCAACAGTTCATTCTGTTTTATTGCCGAATAGTATCCCACTGGGGGGATGCAGGACATTCACCTGTTGATCAACAGTCAGGCTGTTTCTAGCTTTTGGCTATTTCAAATGAAGCTGCAATGAGCACTGATGTACAAGGCTTTGCGTGGACATACGCTTTTGTTTCTTTTCCATAAATACCTAAAGGTGAAACAGCCAAGATCCTATGTTTAACTTTCTAAGAAATTGCCAAACTGTTTTCCAGAATGATTATACCATTTTATATTTTTAAAAAATGCTTCCACCTCATGCTCTTGGGGCTACTCACTCTGGGAACCTAGCAGCCATTTTGTAAGGAAGCCCAAGTAGCCGGCGGAGAGCCCCGTGGAGAAGAATCAAGGCTCCAGGGCCACAGCCTCGAGCGCCCAGCTGACAGGCAGCCCTGACTGCTCGGCCACATACATGAGCCCTCCCCAAACGCATCCTCCAGCCCAGGCAAGTGTCCATGCTGATGCTGCATACAGCAGGGGGAAGCCACCTCCCCCAGCCCTGCCCCAATGGCAAGCCCACAAGCAAAATAAATGTTATTTTAAGGCTCTATGTTTGGGAGTGATTTGTTGTTATGCAGCAATGGATAACTGATATGTATCTAAGTGCTTTATATCTTTAACCCCTTTAACTCTTACAACAACCCTGTGAAGTCGGTAGTATTATTCCCAATTCAGACTTGAGGAAACTAAGGTGCAAAAGGCTGAGTCGGCCGGGTGCGGTGGCTCACCGCTGTAATCCTAGCACTCTGGGAGGCTGAGGCAGGCAGATTGCTCGAGGTCAGGATTTCGAAACCAGCCTGAGCCAAGAGCAAGACCCTGTCTCTACTATAAATAGAAAGAAATTAATTGGCCAACTAATATATATAGAAAAAATTAGCCGGGCATGGTGGCGCATGCCTGTAGTCCCAGCTACTCGGGAGGCTGAGGCAGCAGGATCTCTTGAGCCCAGGAGATTGAGGTTGCTGTGAGCTAGGCTGATGCCACGGCACTCACTCTAGCCTGGGCAACAAAGCGAGACTCTGTCTCAGAAAAAAAGAAAGGCTGAGTCGGCCCCTGCGGTCCTGGGGCTCGTGAGCGGCAGGGCTGGGGTACAGACCAGGCGGCTCGGCTCCTAGTCAGTGGGCTACGTGTCACTCAAGAACCAGACACTCGAAAAGGGGGACAGGGTAGTTAGTGCGAAGGGACCAAACCCACAAGAGCGGCTCCCTCACATCCTAGAGTGGAGTCACAAGTAGGAGGGGGACATCCGCACGCGGCCTGAGCGCGGTCCTTCTGACCCTCCCCACCCGGTGCCGACAGAGCAGCATTCCCTGCTCTGATCCCAGCCCCGTTTCTGAACCAACTGAGCCCTCCAGGCAGAGACAGGGGCAGGCCAAACCAAACTTCCTCCGTCCGCTCACATGGACCAGGGAAGCATGAGTCAGAATGTGACCGAGGAGGACAAGCCACAGGCGGGCAGCCGGATGGAGCCGCATCCTCACGTGCCCAGCCCCGTCCTCGAGACCTCCACGTGCCCCGGCAGGAGCCAGCCCCCGCGACACAGCGGGGCCCCGGCGACACAGCGGGGCCCCGGGTAAAATAAGTAACGGTGACGGAGCAGGGTGAGCTGCGGCAAGCTGGCACAGATGGCAGCAGCCACCAGCGTCACTTCCCCAGCCTGCGCTAGACCGGAGTGTCTTGCGTGAGCCGCTGCCTGGAGACCCCCGCCAGGGGGCCTTCCCAGCCCCTCCTCTCACAGGGGGTCTTGGCGCACTGACCGGGGCTTCCCTCTCACGCAAACCCCTGGCGGGGAGAGGACACCTGGTCCTCATCGCTCACACAGCAACTCCCCGTGGCTGGTGGCCTCGTGTGTCCTACGGCGCCGGCTGCTCCTTGCTAAGGTGCCCCACTCACACTGCCAGCAGTGGGCTTTTCCTGGAGCGGGTCACTCTTGGTATCCGAAGTGTCCTGGTTTGGGTGAAAGACAATCCCTCTTCCCTGATAGACAACCCCTTCAAAGCCGCAAACAACAGCTCCACGCAGCTGAAACCCACAGGGACCTCCGGGACAGGAGGACCAGCTCCTGGCTGCCTTGGGAGGACAGTCCTCAGAGCCACAGATCTCCGACGCCACGTACTCTCCACTCCCCCGGGCCTAAGTCGCCGGATCTGGGAGGGTCTCGGCTCTCCCACCCGTCTCCTCTGCCCACCTTCGTGGGGCCTCCTGTCCCCGCCTGAAAGCCGCCGCAGCCCTCAGACAGCCTCGCGGGCCAGTCGTTTCCCCGACTACCTGAGCCAGGCACCTTACCGCAGGGTGAACTCTGTAAAGACTAAGCGTGCCCGTGTCACTCTGCTGCTTAAAACCCCTCGCTGTCCTGCCCGCAGAAAAAGACTCAGACTCCCCGGAACAGCACACAAGCGAGCTCAGACTCCAGCTCCGTCTCTCTCCATTCCCCCGCTCCTGTGCCAAACTCCCGACGGCAGGTGGGCTTCGCCTTGGGGCTCGGGGCCGGCTCCAGAGGGCAGCTGGTGGCCACAGAGCACTAGGACGTGGGGAGCCTTAGATATAATTGCTTTGTTCACCTGCTCTTCCTTCAGTGGGCATTCCCTGGGGTGGCGGGTGGATCCCAGGTGCTGGGCCTTGGGCAGGGACTGCAGGTAGGTGCCTGGACAGCCCTTGCCCTCCAGGAGCACCTGTCCCTCCCCCCATGCTGCCACCACGGGGCCTCCAAAAGGTGTTTCCACAGAGATGAGGTCTGGCTGGTGAGTGGGGAGCTGTGTTCACAGGTACATGGGGACTTCCAGGCCTGGCACAGATCCTGGAGACTGCTTAATTCCGTGCCCACCTTTGGGAGATGGGGAAACTGAGGGCCAGGGAGGGGGTGTGGTGTCCCCACGTAATGGGGCCGATGGGTCACAGGGCAGGTCCAGCACGCAGGCCTCCGGGATCACCCACTTATCACTTACGTCTCACCAGAGAGACGTGAGGGTGGCTCTGTGCCGTGGCGTGGCCCTCGGCCACTGTCTGCTCTGACTGACAGCACGCAGCTGTGACACAGGTTTGTCTGTGACCCCAAATCAAAGAGGCTAAGCGACTGGTCTGCGCACAGACCATTACCCTCGCTGGCCAGAGCTCTTGGGATGCACCCCGGGGCCCACAAGTGCCTGGTGGACAGGCAGAAGGTCTCGGTGGGGTGACAGGGTCTATGTCCCTTGCCCTGCAAATGCTGAACGGAACGGCTGCATCAATAGAGAATCCGGGGCAGGAGGGGCCTCGGGAACCGGGAGGCTCAGCCCCTCCTGGGACTATGCTGAGCACAGTGGGCCACAAGATCTTGCTTCTGACCCTCCTCCCCGACACCACGGCCTGAGCCATCCCTCCCTGGACGGACACGAGCCCCCATCTC